GTGATGTTTCCCCTTGTGTTGATGCTTCAAATCTTGAGTTTTCACTGATTTGGGGGCTTGGGTAAGTTGCGATTCATCTTGTGATAGTTCAGTGATGTTTCACCTCGTGTTGATGCTTCAAATCTTGAGTTTTCACTGATTTGGGTTCTTGGGTAAGTTACGATTCATTTTGTGATAGTTCGGCGAAGTTTCCCCTTGTGTTGATACTTCAAGTCTTCAGTTTTCACTGATTTGGGTGCTTGGGTAAGTTGCGATTCATCTTGTGATAGTTCGGTGAACTTTCCCCTTGTGTTGATGCTTCAAAMYTTGTGTTTTSACTGATTTGGGTGYTTGGGTAAGTTGCGATTCATCTTGTGATAGTTCGGTGAACTTTCCCCTTGTGTTGATGCTTCAAATCTTGAGTTTCACTGATTTGGGTGCTTGGGTAAGTTGCGATTCATTTTGGGACAGTTCAGTGAACTCTCTCCTTATGTTGATACTTCAAGACTTGATTTTTCACTGATTTGGGTGCCTGTCTAAGTTGCGAATTACCTTGGGATGCTTCGGTGAACTTTCCGCTGGGTTAGATGTTCTCGAACTTGTGCCTTCACTGATTTTGATGCATGTCTAAGTTGCGAATTACCTTGGGATGCTTCGGTGAGCTTTCCGTTAGATTAAGGTGCTCTCAAAACTTGTGCAGTCAATCTTTACCCCCTGCTGTACCCAGTAACATGCGGTGTGTGTATATGTGAGTGTTGCAGTCCCCGGTAACTTGTGCAGTCCATCTTTACCCCCTGCTGTACCCAGTAACATGCGCTGAGTGTATGTGTGAGTGTTGCAGTCCCCGGTATCTTGTGCAGTCCACCTCTACCCCCTGCTGTACCCAGTAACATGCGGTGAGTGTATGTGTGAGTGCTGCAGTCCCCGATTACTTGTGCGGTCCATCTTTACCCCCTGTTGTACCCAGTAACATTCGGTGTGTGTATGTGTGAGTGCTGCAGTCCCCGGTAACTTGTGCAGTCCATCTTTACCCCTTGATGTACGCAGTAACGGTCGGTGTGTGTATGTGTGAGTGTTGCAGTCCCCGATAACTTATGCAGTCCATCTTTACCCCCTGTTGTACCCAATAACATTCGGTGTGTGTATGTGTGAGTGCTGCAGTCCCCGGTAACTTGTGCAGTCCATCTTTACCCCTTG